TTCTATGTCCACAACTTTTACCGTGTATTTTAATCTCTTGTATATGATAATCTAGACTAGATACATTATATTTTGTTTTTAAATTTTTCTGTAAATGGGCATTTATATATATTTTTATTTTATTTTATTTTATTTATTTATTTTTTAAATTCATACAAGAACTGGGACACAGGCCAGAGGCAGGGAACGGTGAGAGAATTCACCAGTGACAGATTGGGGAGCAGAACAGGCAGAGTGACTGAAATACACTGCTGAGGGGAGCAGCAGGTGAGACAGGAGAGGTCTGCTGTGCCCTGTGGGTTTCTCCCTGGCCGGCCGGGAATCAAACTCATGCTGCAGAGGCTGTGGACAGCTTCACAGCCCTGTGCTCAACCTGCTGCTCCACTGGGGAGGCCCCTATTTTTTTTATTTTAACTATTATTAAGCAGCTTTGAATGTCCCTGTAATCTTTTTTTTTTAATTTATTCATACAAGAACTGGGGTGTAACCCAGAGTTGTGGGGCTGGGGGTGAGAGGATTCACCAGAGAGAGTGGGGAGCAGAACAGGCAGATCTACTGAAATACACTGCTGAGGGGGCAGTGGGTGAGACAGGAGAGGTCTGCTGCACCATGTGGATATCTCCCTGGCTGGCTGGGAATTGAACCTGTGCTGCTGCAGTGGCTGTGAATAGCTTCACAGCACTGCCCTCAACCGACTGAGCCATCAGGGAGACCACAACGTTCTTAACTGTACAGGTTCATTGTGTGTAAATGATAGAATGTAAACTGTAATGAAATTCAAATATAAATATATTCTCATTTACTTAAGCCTGAATCAAATATAGATGTGACATTTAAACTTTTTTCACTGCAGATACTAATAGAATCCATTCTTTCTGTTTTTATTTCTCTTAAGCTTCTGTTCTCATCTGTTCACTAAGGGCTAAGATTGCATCTGGCTGTGTCTTAACATTACATTTCTTTTTAAATATCAGTCTCTGTCCATCCATTAATTTACACAAGAAACTTATCTGCTTCCCTGAATTCAGCTAGAATAATCTCTTTGGAATATATTCTCTTGTCCTATTGTATCCATTCTCAATATTCTCCTAATTTGAGACAGTCTCTCTTCACTTGTTACTTAATATTGATTTATACATATTTAATCAGTGCCAGTCTCTTTCTACTTAATGCCATCTTTATGGTAAAATCAATTTTTGTTGACACATAAAGGTAAACATCTCTGATAGAAGCAGTTATTTGCTTGGGCTCTTGTTTAGTTGTGAAAATAGCTTAGTGTACTCAATGTGCCTAAATTATATGCAAATCTAATAATTTGTTTCTTAAATATATCCAATCAGTTATATGATTTCTAGATGTTCAGCTGACAATCTCATTCTCTCCCTGTGACTGATTGCCCTCTTGGTCCTGATCAGTCATCCTTTTGATGCATCTCATATTGTCCTTACTGACCCCATTGGCTAAAGTTGCCATTGTCCTGTGTGCCACTGATTTATCTGTTAAAAATCCTTCCTTAAGTTTCCAATTTATTTAATGGAAAGCAATCAAATGTGTTGGAAGTACTTTTAAAGATAAATTACACCACAGTTAAAGTGATAGGGTGTTGGAGGTATAAATTATATGTTGATTACAAAGAATCTGGAATGGGGGGTTTTAAGCCTAGTCTTAACCCATAACATGTGTGAGCCTCATTTAAATCTAAGACTAAGTACCATTGACAAGATTGTTTTGAAATCTTCCTCAATCTATTATGATATCTAGTTTTAGGTTTTTTTTTTTTAATAGAGAGATTGGGGTAGTTTTTGATTAAGTGTGTTTTATATCTAGTTTAAGAAGTAAGTCAATCACTTTCTGTGATCCTTTGAATTTGCCAAAAGATGTGAAACAAAGTCATAACTTTTTAAAATTCTGATACACATCTACGAAGTGCTTTAAAAAGGGCAAGAAATACATATACCTATGTATGAAGATATTTCAATAATAATGGTAAACATCTTGACATTATTGAAGGCTATAGGTTCACCACCAGCTGCAAATCATTATGGCGGATAAAGCTCTATTTAGAGCAAAATTCTTCACTGGGCATTGAATGGAAATAAATCTTGCATATAAATGAAAAATCACTGCTGAGAATAATGTTAATTCAAGGATTATTAAGAGCGAACTCATCAAAACATGTAATACCACAGCTTGTTAATTTCATCTTTTATTATAGTTTTATTATATTTTTAACAATTGCCTTTTATTTCCTTACCAAACCCTGTATATATTTTCATATATTTTTTACAATTGCACTGATTACTGTTTGCTATTTTTAGTTCTTTTACACTTTACTTGTCTTTGATGATGTGAATCCACCAGCTGGGGTACCCTTCCTATAATTCTTATGTGGCAAAAGCCTCCTTCTCCAACATTGTCTCTTCCATATTGCCATCTATCCCTGACTAGCCTTCATCCATTTTGAACATACAAGTTCTCTTTCATGGATCCTCAAGTATTATCTTTCATAGTAAACATCTGTCTATTTATAATACATTATTTTTTTGGTTTTTTTAAAGATTTATTTATTTATGCATACAAAAGCTGGGGTACAGGCCAGAGATGCAGGGGATGAGAGGATTCACCAGAGATAGTGGGGAACAGAACAGGCAGATGGACCTAAGTACACTGCTGAAGGGAGCAGTGGGCAAGTCAGGAGAGGTCTGCTGAGCCATGTGGGTTGCTCCCTGGCTGGCCAGGGATCAAACTCATGTTGCAGAGGCTGAGGATTGCTTCATAGTGCGGTGCTTAACCCCTTGCGCCATCTGGGAGGACCTATTTATAATACTTTTTTTATTGCAACTTCTTGATGGCAAAGGCCAATCCCTGCTTTACTTTGAGAACCTATGCCTAAATGGGTCTTATGAAGTTATAACTTGGATACATCAGTTTTTCACATATAAATCAGCAAATTTTCTGTCTTATAATAATAAATAAATGATATACATTTGAGAGGTTGATGATGTAAATTTTATAAATTTCATTTTATTTTATTTTTTAAAGATTTATTTATTTATGCATACAAAAATTGGGTTGCAAGCCAGAGGTGCAGGGGTTGAGAGGATTGACCAGACACAGAGTCAGAAACAGAACAGGCGGACTGACTAAAGTACACTGCTGAGGGGAGCAGCGGGCAAGACAGGAGAGGTTTGTTGTTCCATGTGGGTCAGCTCCCTGTCCCAGGATCAAACTTGTGCTGCAGTAGCTGTGAAAGTTTCACAGTGATAAGTCTTAACCCCTTGCGCCACCAGGGAGGCCCCTTATAAATTTTAGAGATTCATATATTATTGATAAAGGTTGACTCCAGTTAATTGAGTCTTTTTTTTTTTTTTTTTAAGATTTATTTATTTATTTATACAAGCACTGGGTACAGTCAGAAGCATGGGAGGGTGAGAAAATTCACCAAAACCAGAGCGGGAAACAGAACAAGCAGATGGACCGAAATATATTGCTGAGGGGAGCAGCGGGCGTGGAGAGGTCTGCGCGCCATGTGGGACCCTCACCTGGTAGCTGGGGATCGAACCAGCACTGCAGAGGCTGTGGGCAGCTTCGCAACCCAGAGCTCAACTGCTGCGCCACCTGGGAGGCCTTCACATATATTTTCAAGGAAATAAATGTTATTTTACTTTATCAATTTTATAATATCTGTAAGATAATATGGAGAGCTTGTCATTTCATTTGGTATTTGTTATTGTTTAGATAGATAACTTTGGTTTTGTAAAAGAAAAAAAAAATCAGTCCGTTTAAGGTTCACAAAGGGTGTGTGTACATTATAGTTAAGGAATGAAGTGAAATTTAGAAACAAAGCAAAATAAAACAAGCACAGAATTATGAGTCATTATGGAAACCACTGAAAAATGGTCTCTAGAATAGCAAGATTGGACATGTCATTAGGAATTCCTGATGTGGAAACCCATCTTAACACTGAATAGCTTAAATTCCTGGCTCCTCACTCTAGTAAAAGCGATATATACATGCTAATTATGAGTTGACCTTGTGATTAGGCAAGGCTTGATTTCTTATTCATACTTTACCACTTATTGGCTGAGTGACACTTGGCAAGTTACTCTTCTGCTATACAATGCCTAGAGTATTAATGTCTATCTCCACAGTTATTAGCATTACAAGAGATAACCTGTATAAAGATCTTTAATACATCACAGTTGAGCTGTAGCTGCCTGCTTTTCCACCTCTTCCCTATTTTTCTGAGTTATCAGTGACTTGACATTAATATGGTTCACAATTTTTTAATGCTTGTGCCTTTCTTGGTATATATTATCACTTGTAAAATTTCCAGTTGAATTAGCTTTAGTGCAAGTCCTGTTGTCAACTCATAGTTGTGGTTTCCTCATAAACACTATATCCCTTTGTGGTTAATTTTCCCTGTGAATGGCGTCATAATTTCTAAATTTCTGAAATCAAGCTCCAAGGAAAACAGTTTGTCTATTGATTTTTCTTTGAGTGCAAATTCTGGTCTTGTCTGTGATTCTGTTAATCTCAGGTTAGTACCTTGCTGAGTGATGCGGTAGAGTTGGTGATGACTAACAGAAGCAACAATGAGGCTTTTAACCCAGGGAGATCATGGCTGTCACTTGCCTAATACATCTATATGAATAAACATAAAGGGCTAAGATTAAGAAATTTGCCACATTTTAGAACCAGTATAATTTGTAAGCCTGCGTCTTCAATAATGATCTTACATCTCTCAACCCAAAATTCTTCTGAATATATTTTGAATATTCTTGGTAATCTTAAAATTCTGCACCATTATAAAATGTCGATGGAAATTATTAGCTAATTTTGATATGTATACATTTTAAATAACTTAAATATCAGAATTTTGTATGTATTGTTTCATATAAGCCAAATTTCATTGTATCTTGAAAAACAATATTTTGCTTAAAATATCATATTATAATTGAATTCCATTGATTTATTCTTTTTGTTTTAACTTTTCTCAGGCTGCTAAGTTGGCTATCACAGTGCAGTCCTTGGAGTCCCAATGGGGGACTCCAGATCAAGACGATCTACCCTGGTCTCCCGGTTGCCAATATTCAGAAGAAGTATTAGCAGAAGACATGACTCTCTTCCTTCTTCACCCTCCTCCAGTAATACAGTTGGTGTGCACAGTTCCTCTCCTTCCAGCACTAACTCAAGCTCAGGCAGCACAGGTAAACGGAGGAGCATATTTCGTACTCCTTCCATTAGCTTCCACCACAAGAAGGGGGGTGAGCCTAAGCAAGAACCTACCAACCAGAACCTTAGTATTTCAAATGGTGCTCAACCTGGTCATGGCAGTGTGCAAAAGCTGAGTTTGGAAGAACACATTAAAACCCGGGGGAAACATTCTGTTGCTTGTAGTGGTTCACGGAATAAGAAGATAACAAGATCTTTGACAGAGGATTTTGAAAAGGAGCACTCAACCAATAAGAATGTTTTCATAAATTGCCTAAGTTCTGGAAAAAGTGAGGTGGATGATTCTGGATTCACAGAAGAACCAACTCGCCGTTCTGTTAAGCAGTCAACGAAGAAGCTGCTTACAAAATCTTTTTCCTCTCACTATAAATTTTCTAAGCCAGTTCCACAGAGTCAGTCCATTTCATTGGTACAACAGTCTGGATTCTCATTGGAAATTACACATTACCAAGAGAGAGAACCTGCATTAGTCAGAGCTTCTCCATCTTGCTCTATGGATGTAACGGAAAGGGCAGGAAGCTCTTTACAATCTCCATTGCTCTCTGCTGATCTTACAACAGTTCAGACACCTTCGGAGTTCTTAGCTTTGACTGAAGATTCTATGTCTGAAGCAGACACATTTCCTAAAAGTGGAAGCATAGCATCCCACTGTGGCAACTTTGGTCACAATGATTCTACCTCTCAATTCTCTTCCAATACTGCTGCTGTTACAAAGACAACAGAGCTTTTAGCAACTGCTCCCTGTGCAATTATGTCTCCTGGGAAATACAGGTTAGAAAGTCGATATAGCACTGAATCTAATTCCTTACCGGAAACTTCTGCTGCTAATCAGAAAGAAGTGTTATTGCAAATAACTGAATTATCTATGATGAATGGAAAAAACTCAGAGACTCACCTATCAGCAGATATGGGAAAAGAAGAACATATGGTATTACAAAATGGTGAGACAATGCTGGTGACAAGCTCTCCAAAGAAACTTGGATTTTATGAGCAAAATAAAGCAATAGCTGAACGTGTTAAAGGGATTCATCCTATTTCAGATTCAAGGATAATACCCTCTTCTGGTGATCACCATATTCTTAACAAAACATCATATGGATGTGACACAAATCCTGCCAAAGGTAGGCTAATTTTCTTTGTAGAATAAATGATACAAATTATATTCTCTTTGTAGAATAAATGATATAAATTATAATTTGTTCAATTTTATTACTGCATTTCATGAGTAAATATCAGCTTCTCATTTTCTACCCTCTAACCCTCTAACATTCTTTTTTTTTAAGATTAATTTTATTATTTATACATGCAAGAGCTGGGGTGTAGGCTAGCGGTGCAGGGTCGGGGTGAGAGGATTCACCTGAGACAGAATGGGTAGCAGAATAGGCAGATCTACTGAGATACTCTGCTGAGGGGAGCAGTGGGCAAGACAGGAGAGGTCTGCTGCTCCATGTGGGTACCTCCCTGGTTGGGATCAAACTGGCTGCCTGTAGCTTCATAGTGCTGAGACTTAACCCCTTGCACCACCAGGGAAGCCTTCTAACATTCTTTTTTATTTGTAATTTATTTTAAATATTTACTCTACTTGATTTTAAACTTACTTCACTTGTATCATGCTGAAAATGTAATTCAACGATACTATTCAATTTTCTTGGTTATATTATACAAATTCTTACCCTCAGAGAAAAGTGAAAGGAAAATATTTTTATATACACTGCAACTTTATCTAAAATAAAAACTGTCTTTCTTTTTAAGTTCATTTTAGAGTACTGCTATTTCTAAGTGAAATGAATATATTCCAGTCTAAAGACTATAAGAGAACTTTGTAAAATTTAAATTTTATTTCCTATTTTAACAAAGTTTTTATCATTAAATAGGATCCATGTTTCAGAATAATTAGTTGAATGTCTACATGCAACAGAATTGCAAGTTTCAAAATGCTGTACATGGAGCCTGGGGACACAAAAAAGCTTGCCTCTGTCATTAATTACCTGTGTGACCTTGGGTCCTTTCCCTTTGACTTAAAAGAAAGGGAATTGCCAGTCTGTTATTTAACAGAAAACTTTATTTTACTATAAAATTTCATTTGGGCCTCCCTGGCGGTGCAGCGGGTTGAGCGCAGCGCTGTGAAGCTGTGCGCAGCCCCTGCAGCACGGGTTCGATTCCCAGCCAGCCAGAGAGAAACCCACATGGCACGGCAAACCTCTCCTGTCTCGCCCGCTGCTCCCCTTAGCAGTGCTTTCCAAAGTCTGCCTGCCTGTTCTGCTGTCTGCTCTGTCTCTGGTGAATCTCTTACCCGCCCACGCCTCTGGCCTGTACCCCAGCTCTTGTATAAATAAAAATAAATCTTTAAAAAAAAAGTTTAAAAAAAGTCATTCAAGAAAATTGTTGAATTTATGCCATCCACTAGACTGTATTTGTGATTATTTGTCATTTTTTTCTCTACTATGGTTATTAACTATCACTGCTGCTGATGCTGCTGTTGTTTCTGCTACTACTACCACTAACACCACACTACCGCTGTTACTACTAGTTCTCCCAGTATTGAATGATTCTTGTATCCCATTTAATGTTTTGTACATTTTGAATACATTTATTCATTTAACCCACAGATGATTGTAGTCAGTACTATTTTTGTAACCCATTTTACAGAGAGATCTCAGGTACAGAGATTGGTAAATTGTGTGGCCAGATTCAGAGTTAGTAAATAATGCTTCAGGATTTGAACCCCATGATGTGTCAGACTCCTCAAATTGATGGAGTGATCACAACCCCATGCCTTGTTAACTTAGCAAATCTCCTTAAACTGTGTTTAACTTCCAAATAAAAGAAAATAACAAGCTCACATTCCTGCCTAATTTGATACAACCATATTCCAGTTTTTTAATTTATCAAATGAAAATTAGAATTCTTATGTTTTAGGGAATAATTGGATGAGAGAGTAATTAATGTTTCTATTAATACCTAGCAGAGTTGGTTACTATTACCAGGAAAAATATTAGTGCACAGTTCTGATAGTTGTTGAAATGTTTCATGATGGTTGACAAAAAAGGACTTCAATTAAAATAATAAATTTAAGTGAGAGTGTTGTTTTATATAAATAAACAAACCTAATAAAATAGCGAGATATACTAGGAATTATATGTCAAGTTTGAATAGGGATGTAATCAGATTTAAAAAAATGTTAATAATCTTAAGATAATGTTTATTATCAAGCTAGTTCCTCTAGAATATATCAATTTTATTTTATTTGGGATTGTCATATATAATATTTATTATCTTTATTTATGTTCCTCTATACTCATCTTTTTCTTTTTTGTTATTTATATACTTTTTACATTATTGTTTATTCTCCTCTCAGGTGTAATTCCCATAAAATTACCACCACGTAGACACCCATGAATCATTATCATAGTCTCCTGTGCTCTTTGCTCTCCTGTTTTGATCCCTTCCTCTTCCCCTCCCAATCTATTTCCGATTTATAGTTTGCCTGATATTTTTGTCTTTTTTTTTCTGATCCTTTGTTTGTTTTCCCTGTGTTCCTCCTATAAGTAAACCCATCTGATACTTTACTCTTTCCTTTCGACTTATTTCACAAAACATAAGACCTTCCAGTTCCATCCAAGTTGCTGCGAATGACATGAGTTTATCTTTTTGATTGCTTAATAGTATTCCATTGTGTATATATACCACATCTTCTTGATCCAGTCATCTTTTGGTGGGCATTTAGATTGTTTCTATATCTTACCTATTGTAAATAGTGCTGCAATAAACATAGGAGTGCAGGTTTCCTTTCAAATTAATTACCTTTTGACCTTTGGGTAGATTCCTAGAAGTGAAATTGCTGGGTCATATGGGTAGCTCCATTTTTAGAAGTTTGGGTGTCCACCACACTGTTTTCCATAGTGGTTGGACCAGTTTGCATTCCCACCAGCAGTATAAGAGAGTTCCTTTTTCTCCACATCCTCACCAGCATTTGTTGTTATTTATTTTAATATGTACCAGTCTCACTTGTGTGAGGTGGTATCTCATTGTGGTTTTGATTAGCATTTCCCTGATTGTAAATGATGTTGAATATTTTTTCATATACCTGTGGCCATTTGCATTTCCTCTTTGGAGAAGTGTCTTTTTAGCTCTTCTGCCTATTTTTTTTTACTGGAGTGTTTGTTTTGTTTTTGTTTACAAGTGTGAACTCTTTGTTTATCTTTGAAATCAGTCCCTAGTCAGTTTTGTAGAGTGTAAATATTTTCTCCCAATTGGTAGGGTGTCTCTTTCTTTTGGTTATTGTCTCCTTTGCTATACAGAAGATTTTTAGTTTAAAGTAATCCCAGCTGTTTATCTTTTCCTTTGCTTTCTTTGCATCAGGGGATGAGTCTCTTAAGATGTTTCTGAGATGTATGTCATGGAGTGTTTTGCTTGTGTTTTTTTCTATATGTTTTATGGTTTCAGGTTTTATGTTCATGTCTTTTTGAGTTGGTTTTTGTGCAAGGTGTGAAGTAGTAATTTACTTTAATTAATCTCATTTAATTAATCTAGTTTAATCTGGTAATCTAGTTTAATTCTTTTGCATGTGGTGATCCACTTTTCCCAGCACCATTTGTTGAACAGATTGTCCTCGTTCCATAGCACTGAATATGGCAACTTTCAAGTTTTAAATGCATGAATTAATTTTCTGAAAGTCTAAATATTTTTGATTTGATTTGAAATTGTATCTGGCTACATTTTTAAACTTTTGATTTTGGCTCCTTCTTTGTACTTTAGGATTTATGTATACCTGCTTAATTACTTAACTATAATGTAATTATGAAAATGATGATGATGATGATGATGATCACACTTGTGTACACTTAATATCTGCCAAAAATTTGTTAAGCCATTTGTATGCACCATTTCTTTTAATATTAACAACAGTTTTATGTGGAAGTTAGTAACTAAGATTTAGGATTAAGTTAAATATATTAATGAAATCACATTGTCAGCAAATGGTGCAACTCAGATTGAAATATAGACAGTTTCAAAAGAAATAGCACAGAAAAGGTTTGGGAATTAATTATCCTGATATAGTTAGTTATAATTTAACATGATAGGGCCTCCCTGGTGGCGCAGCGGTTGAGCGCTGGGTTGCGAAGCTGCCCGCAGCCTCTGCGGCGCCGGTTCGATCCCCGGCTACTCCCCGGCCACCGGAGGAGGGTCCCACATGGTGCGCAGACCTCTCCTGCCACCCGCTGCTCCCCTCAGCAGTGTACTTCGGTCCTTCTGCCTGCTCTGCTCCCCGCTCTGGCTCTGGTGAATTCTCTCACCCTCCCGTGCTTCTGACTGTACCCCATGCATGTATAAACAAAAAACAAACAAACAAATAAATAAATAAAACAAAAACATGCGTCTATTAAAAAAAAAAAAAACTAATAAAAAAAATAATTTAACATGATAACGTCTCAATTTCAAATTAAATCTTGTATATATATTTTTTGGACATTAGTGAATGATAAACCTTTGTATTGTTGACAATTAATCTGTTAAACTAACATCTCAGAAGTCATTTAACACATTTCTGTAATTTCTCTGAATTTGCTATGTGGTGCTTGTTCTTGAATCTTGGCTATTTAGTCATATTATCTACAATTTATAGAATATAGACACATAATGGAAATACTCTGGTAATTTTAACAAGGAAAAGATGATATCAAGCTATCATTTATGAAGTATTTATCTATTATTCATATGGATTTTATAATTTGGAAGTTAAAAATTTAAAACCAATTAAGTATATATATTTTCATGTGAAGAGTTGCGGCACACACATAATTCTGTAATACTGAATTCATTTAGTATTTATAATAAGACATGTTCAAATGAGTATTTAATATGTATCTGAAGATGTTAGACGTATAATTCCATCAAAACTAATCATGGAATTCTAAACTCTCATAACAATTCAAGTTTTATTCATTGGCTTAAGTTTCCTTTTCACTTTCCTTATTGCTTCCCCTTTTCTTTCTTTTTCTTTTTTTTGAAGATTATTTAAGTGATACCATTAAATATTTGTCTTTCCCTATATGACATTTCACTTGGTATAATGTCATCCAAATTCATCCACATAGTTGCTAATTACTGGGTTTACTTTCTTTTTTAGAAAAAGATGAATTATGTTCATTATCCGTTTATCCCTTGATAGACACTTAGGCTCCTTCCATACCTAACTGTGAAGAAGGGAGTACATATATATATATATATATATATATATATATATTAAATATTTTATTAATTTATTCATATAAGCACCGGGTACAGTCAGAAGCGCGGGAGGGTGAGAGAATTCACCAGAGCCAGAGCGGGGAACAAAACAGGCAGACCGATGGGCGCGGCAGGAGAAGTCTGTCGCATCATGTGGGACCCTCACCGGCGGCTGGGGATCAAACCGGCGCTGCAGAGGCTGCGGGCAGCTTCGCAGACCAGTGCTCAACTGCTGCGCCACCTGGGGAGGCCCATACAGATATATTTTTAACATAATTTTGTTTACTTTGAATATATAATCAGATGTGGGATTTTTGGATCACATGGCAATTGTTTTTTAACTTCTTGAAGAAACTCCATGCTGTTTTCAGTAGTGGTTGTTTCAGTTTACATTCCCACCACATTTCCAACACTTGTTATATTTTGAATTTTTGTTCATCATCATTGTAATGGATATAAGTATGTGATATTATGGTTTCAATTTGCAAATCACTGATGATTATTGATTTTGAGTACTTTTTCATGTATCTGCTAAGTCATTTGCAAATCTTCTCTAGGAAAATGTCTATGTCCTTTGTCCATTTGTTAATGTAATTATTTGATTTTGACTTACATTGTTGCTATTAAGTTGTGTGAGTTCTTTGTATATTTTGAATATTTGTTCCTTATTGGATATGTGGTCTACAAATGTTTTCTCCCAATCCTTAGGTTGCCCTTTCACTTTTCTATGTAAAGGCTTTATAGTTTGAAGTAGCCCCACTTTTTTTTTTCTTTATTGTTTTTGTTGTATTTGCTTTTGGTATAAAAGCCTAACAGTCATTACTAAGACCGATGTCAAGGAATTTATTTACTATGTGTTCTTATAGAAATTTTGCAGTTTCAGGTTTTATGTTCAAGTCATTAATCTATTGTGAGTTGATTTGTGTGCATGGTGAGGATTAGAATCCTGTTTCATATTTTTGCATGTGTCTATACAGCTTCTCCAAAACCATCTACTGAAGTTATCCTTTTCCTAATTCATATTCTTGAGTTTTTTTGAAAATCACTGCCCTTGTGTACATGGATTTATTTCTTGTCTTTCTATTCTGTTCCATTGATTTATGTGTCTGTTTTTATGCCATATACCAATTTGATTCCTATGTCTTTGTAATATAACTGAAATAAGAATGTTATGTAATTCCTCATTTTGTTATTCTATCAATAAATCAAGGTTGCTTTGGCTGTTTTGTGTCCTCTGGTTCTATTTAAATCTTGTAATTGTTTTTTCTATTTATATGAAAAATGCTATTGTAATTTTTTTAGCATTGTAATTTTCAATTTTCATCAGGATTGCATTGAATCTTTTTTTTTTTTTTTTTTTTTGTGGGTGGGCAAGAATAAGGGTGTAGGCCAGAGGTGTGGGGGTGAAATAATTCATTAGAGAGAGAACAGAAAAGGTGGATTTATTGAAATACACTGTTGATGGAAGCATTGGGTAAGACGAGAGGTCTGCTGCACACCTTTTGGCAATGTTAATCTTCCAGTCCATGAGCATGGAATACCTTTCCACTTATTTGTGTTTTCATCATTTTTTTCCATTAATGTCATATAATTTTCAACTAAAGATCTTTTACTTCCTCAGTTAAATTTACTACTAAGTACTTAATTCTGTTTGATGCTATTATAAAAGGGATGATTTTCTTAATTTCTCTTTTGGTTACTTTAATATTTGAAGTTTGTATTTATAAATTATACTTATTTATGTGTTTTCTTTTATAATTATAAGGTAATATTTGAAGGGGATTAAGGGGTAAGTCATATCAATATTTGAGGGAAGTATATTACTGCAAAAGTGATCAAGTAAAAAGAGTTTCCGGGACTGGAGAATTTCTGTGATGTTCTGAAAAAAACAAGGGGACCACTGTTCCAGGGCAAATGGAAGAATGGGGATTCAGTAGAAGATGAGGTTGAAGGTTGAAAGATCAGCACTGGGGCCCCCAGCATTGGAGCAAATTGTAGGGTGATAAAGGAGGAACCTGAGAGACTACTGGAAAAACAACAGCTTTGTGACAGATGAAGTGGTTGTGATCATCTCTATTTTTTTTAAGTGTATAATTCTTGTTATCATTGTAAAAGTAGATTGTGTGTTGATGGGGGAATGTTGAGTGGAAGTATCAGAGACAGAGAACTATTATTACTGTAAGTATTGCAGTATTGCAGATAAGCATTGATAGAGTTTGTGCCAGATGTTGTGGGAGAGGTCAAAGAGGTGATCAGATTCTGTATACAATTTGAAAGTAATAACATAGAATTTGCTAAATGCAATTTTTTAAGATTCATTTATTTATGCATACAAGAACTGGGGTGTAGGCCAGAGGTGCAGGGGGGTGAGAGGAGTCACTGGAGACAGAGCAGGGAACAGAACAGATGGATCTACTGAAATACACTGCTGAGGGGAGCAGCGGGCGAGTCAGGAGAGGTCTGCTGTGCCATGTGGGTATCTCCCTGGCCAGTGGGGATCAAAATCATGCTGCAGAGGCTGTGGGTAGCTTCACAGTGCTGTGCTTAACCCTTGTGCCACAAGGGAGGCCCTGCTAATGCAAATTATGTGAGGTATAAAGAAGGCAAGTATGTCTCCAAGGGTTTGGCGCTTCAAAGTGATAAAATATTAAGGAAATTAAGTTACCACTGACTCAAACATATTTATAATGTAAAATTTATGTATGACATTAAGAGAGTCCCATTTGTGTTCAGTGAGAGGCATTTATAAAAATTGTATTTAAATACTTATATTGACTTTAATTAATTTTTCTTCAATAGTTCTTGCCAGTAGCCTCAGTCCAAATCGTGAAGGAAGATTCATAGAGAGGCGGCTGCGATCTTCATCAGAAGGAACTGCAGGGAGTAGCAGAATGATTTTAAAGCCAAAAGATGGAAATGCAGATGAAATTAATAGTCTAAGAAAACAAAGAGCAGGTTCATCATCTTCAAAAATGAACAGCATGGTAAGTTTATACAGATGCATGCCTTCATATAATTAAACTGTGTATATCTGGCATATTCATGCCTCTTAAAAAATGAAAACAGGGCCTCCCCGGTGGTGCAGCGGTTGAGCGCTGGGTTGCGAAGCTGCCCGCGGCCACTGCGGTGCCGGTTCGATCCCCGGCTGCTCCCCGACCACCAGAGGAGGGTCCCACATGGCGCGCAGACCTCTCCTGCAGCCCGCTGCTCCCCTCAGCAGTGTACTTCTGTCCTTCTGCCTGCTCTGCTCCCCTCTCTGGCTCTGGTGAATTCTCTCACCCTCCCGCGCTTCTGACTGTACCCAGTGCATGTATAAACCAACCAACCAACCAAATAAATAAATAAATAAGACATGCCTCTAGAAAATTAAAAAAAAAAAAATGAAAACAAATAGACAATAGACAACTCATATTTAAAAGCAAAATTGTTCTCCATAGGAAGATTGCTTTCTTCTCAGATTACATGAGTGATGACAGATAGGAGTACATCATGATAACTACCCTAACTTGCCATCTTTTTCGCCCATGGATAGTTTGATATTCTCAATCTAGAACAAGACCCTTGTCAACAAAGCTAGGATGAATGCAAACCTTGACACCATCATTTCATACCACGTTTCTACTCTATAGCTACTCTAAAATATGTCATTTTTGTAAATTACAACTTATGCAGATACCAGCATAGACCCTTTAGTGGACTCTATTCTGCCTTTCCTTCCTTAGTTGCCCTTCCACATGGGGTGAGGAGCCTCGGGGGCAGGGTGATCTGCTCAGCAAAAGCTTTAACATTTTGCAGGTAATGAGATTCCAAATTCTTGACCTAAACGAGAGCCTGTGGATGAGGGTGGCAGTGTGGTTTGTGTGTGGATGGCTGGGGCCTGAGCTTGCATTTGTGGACTGGGTTATCTTAGAGGCATATATATGAAGCTCCTTCATCATGTGAGCTAGAGCTAGGGTGACAACAGATGAAAAAAGGACTGTAGCACAGGGGATCCACAAGGACTCAGGTCTCAAGAATACTGGGTGGGGGATACATGCCTTTGGAGTTCACTTTGCTTACTTTCTTACAAATGTGTCTTCAGTAGTATTTTTGATTCATATGGTTTAAAGGGTTTTTTTAATACTTATTTTTATTTATTTATACATACAAGAACTGGAGTATAGGCCAGATTGCTGGAGGTGTGAGGGCTCACCAGAGACAGAGTGGGGAGCAGAACAGGAAGATTTACTGAAATACACTGCTGAGCAAAGCAGCTGGTTAGGCAGGAGAGGTCTGCTCTGCCACGTGGGTTAGCTCCCTGGCCAGGGATTGAAATCATGTGGCAATGGCTGGCAATGGCTTGATAGCCTTGAGACTTAAACCCTGCACCTCCAAGACTTATTTTTTTTAATCTATTCACCCAATTATCTCTTCATGGAGATATGTAAAAAATGCTCAAAGCTAAATTACTTATGATATCTCAGTGTATTTGAGATATTATGTTTCAAATGAAAATATTGGTTCATCTAATTCTGAAATTGTTCTGTAAAGATGCCTTAAGTAACTGAGGCAGCACTGACTGATAGCAAATCTATTGTGCTTTGAAGTTAATCTAAGTACTAGCCCTTAGATTAGGCTTGCCCAGATTTTTTTCTTGGTGAATCAGTAACTACAAAAGAATTGATGATGGGCTTCCCCGGTGGCGCAGTGGTTGAGCACCGTGCTGTGAAGCTGTCCGCAGCCTCTGCAGCGCTGGTTCGATTCCCTGCTGGCCAGGGAGAACACCACAAGGCGCAGCAGACCTCTCCTGCCTCGCCCGCTGCTCCCCTCAGCAGTGTCTTCGATCTGTCTGCCTGTTCTGCTCCCCTCTTTGGCTCTGGTGAATTCTCTCACCCTCCCACGCTTCTGACCTATACCCCAGTTCTTGTATAAGATAAATAAATCTTAAAAAAAAAGAATTGATGATAATGGGGCTTTTGTTTCTAGTATACAAAAAAATGATTTTGTGTGAATCTTTATATTTGTATATACATAACAGTATTTTATTATGTTTCATATTATTGCTGTTTTGTGCATTGGAAATATTGTTGCAATTAATGTTTTTATGTAAGTAAATAATTAGTTAAAGAAAATTACTAATTGATGCAAAAATTGGAAGTATTGATTAATGAATTATGAAACATTTATCTTCATGGGATTTCAATTGTTCCTTTATGGAGAGGTATTTATATTGTTAATGATTGTACACTCTGTATTATATTTGCCTGAAGTTTAACCTTTTACATTTTGTGTTTTTTGTATTATATTTAAATTATTACAGCATCACAAAATCACCATTCTCAGATACACTTTCAAGCATTAGGGAACATTAGCATTTTTAGCAATAGGAGACATTAGCATTTATTATTTACTGCACAATAGACTACATTCTCAGTTTGATACACATTAAAAATCAGATATTTTGGCATTAAATAGGATATTGCAGGCTAGATAATATTCAAGAAGTTGCTCTGGTGCCCAGTAGGCTTAACTATTATGTGAAGCTACATCCCTGAAGAGTTACAGAGTATCTTTAAACTGAGGTCTAAAAGATAAGGCTAGGGGGTCTCCCCTGGTGTCACAGTGGTTGAGCGCTGGGCTGCGAAGCTGTCCGCAGCCTCTGTAGCACTGGTTCAATCCCCGGCCACCGGTGAGGGTCCCACATGGTGCGATAGACCTCTCCTGCCATGTCCGCTGTTCCCCTCAGCAGTGTATTTCATCAGTCTGCCTGTTCTGTTCCCTGCTCTGGCTCTGGTGAATTCTCTCACCTTCCTGCACTTCTGACTGTACCCAGTGCTTCTATAAATAAATAAATAAATAGATAAATAAATAAATCTTTAAAAAAATTAAAAAAAAATAAAAGATAAGGGTAGGGTACCAAAGGAAAAAGTTAAGGTACTGGATAGACCAATTATGTATAGAAATAATGTCATTTTCAATGGCAGAATCAAGAGAAGCATAATATATTCTTGGAATAAATGTTTTTCTTGTTCAATTGAATAAAGAGCTAATCTAACTACAGTTTGATATAACTCAAGTCTAGATTACAGGTGTCATATCATTTCATATTTAATTTAAATATAATATTAAGATAGCAAAAAAGTGATAAGATGATAATGATCTCTAGACAAGAATATGATAAGATTTGTTAGGAAGATATGAAGAAAGATCAATAAATTGGAGGAAGTTTCAGTTCTAATAAGGATAGATCAAATTACTTGGATAGTACTGCAGTGAAAAAGAATTATACACAATGGTACAATAATCTGTGGTGGTGGCATTGGATGAGTAGGTGGTGGGTGCACTAGAGTGGTAATATCTGATGGGGGTATTTCAGTATTACTTCTAGCTAAATAAATAAGTGATAAATAAATATATAAATTGATAGAATTATACATAAAAATTAAAAGAAGTAGGCTAAATATTGAAGTAATTGAAGAACAGAAATTTCTTTGCCAAACTTAGAGAAAAGTTTGAATTCATAAAGATAACCAGATATTGAAGCAACTTAGTTTCACTTCTCCTAACGATGGCATTTGTTCTAGTTACTATACAATTAGACTTTAGTATCAGAACTTTCTTGGAGATGGAGGGAAAAAGTCACCTAGAAACATCCTAAGTAAGAAGTCTTTAAATGATTTTGTTTTTGTTTTGTTTTTTTTTTTTTGAGGGGGGACTTTTTATACATTTTCAACAAATGTCTATGCTATGATGTAGGTGTTCCACTAGATGGCAGGATTACACCATTGTTACAGTAGGGAAAGGTTATCAGGTTGAAACAAACTTGGTTAAAATATACACGTTTACTAAATTACAGGTAAAACTTGTTGAAATAAATGAATGACATGTATGAGTTTCCAAGAAGCCTGTCAAAAATCATGACTTTCCTGTTTTCTTTTGCTTTTTGCAACTAATCATCATTCAATTAATTTACATTCTAATGGTTGATGAAAAATTTATAACTAGATTATATAACACAGCAGTTTAAGGTAGAAATGCTGCAGTTATTTAGACACATTTGACTTCATTGAAACAGGTATCATATATTTCAAAAATTAGAGTTTTATTTATGAAAAGTCTTTTTCTTAAATCCAAATTCTAGCATTTCAAAGTAATTTAAGTGAATATATGTAGTTGTGAAAATATTTATAGTTTTGTTACTATTTTCTTTTAGCTTTATCATGACAATAACATGCATTTTTAACACTTATTTTAACCAAGGGGCTACTTAATGCTTAACATCTGTTATCACCTTTAGTCTTCACAATATTATGAACCAAGTGAAACTATTATTAATCATATTTTCAAATGAGAAAAATTAAGGCACTGAGAAGGTAATCAGCTTGTCCAAAAACACATGCAGAAATAGCAGATATAGAATATGGATTTATAGCCTACATATAGCCTTTATTTATTTATTTATAAGTTTTTTTTTTTTAAGATTTATTTATTTATACAAGCAGTGGGTACAGTCAGGAGCGCGGGAGGGTAAGAGAATTCACCAGAGCCAGAGCGGGGAGCAGAGCAGGCAGAAGGACCTAAGTACACTGCTGAGGGGAGCAGTGGGCTGCAGAGAAGTTGGCGCACCATGCGGGACCCTCCTCCGGTGGCCAGGGAGCAGCCGGGGATTGAACTGGAGCTGCAGAGGCCATGGGCAGCTTCGCAACCCAGCGCTCTACCGCTGCGCCACTGGGGAGGCCCTACATATAGCCTTTAAACCCTACATTCTTTGGGGGTAAAGCAGCAGTCTTAACAATTTTTTCATTTTCCTTCCATTCATTACATGTAATGAGAGTAAGACATTTAAGGCAACTTTACTTTCTCTCAGTTTATACTAAAATCCTCTGTATGGAACACAAACACATATCCTCAAAATTAGTATATATTATGGACTTAAAAGGTGGTAGCATGGGCCTCTCCTGGTGGTGCAGCGGTTGAGCGCTGCATTGTGAAGCTGCCTGCAGCC